AACTGTCCTCAAAGGAATGGAACGCATTTTCAACTCCTTGAAGGCTGGCTGTCTGCAATATCAGGGATTGGACTGTAATCTTACTGGATCGTGTTATGTGGCGATAAAGAAGTTCTTTTCATGTCTAAGTGAGCTACTATAGTACCTGTAGGTGCCTTGCGTGTTCCACCAGGAATCGGTCGTCACTGCTGTAGGTGGCCAGGCCGACAGTAAGCAAATGATAGTCCTTCCGTCGGATCCATGACACCTGCAGAAGAAGGGGAAAAGCAAAAGTAACGTCTATTAACTTCAGAAATAAACCACCTTGACAATGTGGGACAAATGTTGTTATTCTGGGAATTCATCTTCTGCTTTAAAACAACATCCATTGTTATTATTGTAATATTAAGAAGAAAATTTAACAATGCTTTGTTGTAATATAAAACCAAAAAATAGGGGGAGTAATGGTATAGATCCACATATTCGTAACCCATTCACTAGATCGAGGTGACTGGGCAGTTTTAAACCCGGCCCATTCCGATATCCAATTGCTAGAAGGTTGAGTGGGTCACAGAAGTTGTTGTGGACAGTTCAGTGAAGATCTTTTCCGAAATTTAACACCGGTCATCGGGCCCATTTAATTACTTACTCATGGAGCTCAGCCCTTCTGGATTAGCCGCCAATTCTGCAGCTACTCAAGAATTTCCCAGCATCTTATGGAACCCGTAGGTTCATTACCCTGTTCACAAGAGCCCTCCACTGGTCCCTATCCTGAGCCAGATCTATCCAATCCATACCATCCCATCCTATCTCTCTAAGATCCATTCTAATATTGTCCACCTGCCTACGCCTTGGTCTTCCCAGTGGTTCCTTTCCTTCTCGCTATCCCACCAATATCCTATACCCATTCCTCGTCTCCCCCATTCGTGCTACATGACCTTCCCACCTCATCCTCCTTGACTTGATCATTCTAATTATACTTGGAGAAGAGTACAAGTTATGAAGCTCCTCATTATGCAGGGTCATCAGGCCCATAGTGAGTCAAAATAGTGATTGAGCTGTTCTGCTTTTAAAGGTACGTAAATGTTTGCGGAAGTGGAGACGTAGCCTACCTGATTATCTATAGAAGCTAAAGCATTATCACTGCTTAATATTTCTTTTCCATAATATTTAATAATTTCCCCAAAATTTTTCCTTGTGCAGAACAAGAAGTATTAGTTAGATACTCCGTGCCGCAGCTGTATTCGTTTAACATCAGTTTCTTTAGTGTTTCTTTGTTTAGTGTTCTGCCTTTCTTAAAGAAAATTTCGGGGGAGAAGGAAGGCTAATGCCGGACTTGAGCTTCTCACTGATGATCTATATACAGTACATATATAATGTTTCTGGACATTATCCGTGGTTATGTTTATATTTGAAAACACTATGTTTAGGAGACGATTCTGCCTCCGTCTTCATGTAAAACCTACTCCGCTGGGCCCAGTCGATAGAGCTAGTCCTTGTCTCTGGACAAGTCACCGAAACTCTGTTTTGAAATATAAAGAGGACGGGGTTTTAAATAAAATCAGGACAATGGGTAATGTCCAGAAATATAATGTTTGTATTAATGTAACATCGTCACAAATTTTTAGATCTTGTTTAGCTAGATAGAGTATTGTCTTCCGGGACGTCTGATAGACGTGTACCGATATTTCGGAGAAAAGTACTGCCTCCACGTTCAGGGTTTAAAGAAATCAAAAGAAGCAAGAAGGAGGCAGAAACACTCTGCTTCTNCGGACGAGACGCCGTATAGTCTGATAGACGTGTACCGATATTTCGGAGGAAGGTACTGCCTCCACGTTCAGGGTGGAAAGAAATCAAAAGAAGCAAGAAGGAGGCAGAAACACTCTGCTTCTTTTTGCTTCATACGTGTTACTTGTATAGTTTACTCGTCGACCCTCTAGATGGAGGCACACTATCCTCCGAAACGTCGATAAATTTCTATACTGTGCCACATTCCAGAAGATAGTTCTCTTCGGGTTAGATTAATGCTGAAACCGAAACTAACTTCATTGAAGCTCTAACTGCCTACTGATGCTCTGGAGCCCTTTGCCTCTGTGTCAACTAGTTTTCTCTTTTGTGCATATTCAACGAAATGCAAATAAAATAATGAATTTTTCTGCAGTGTGGCATCTGAAGCACGGGAAAGAATGTGAACACTGAATTAGGGAGGAAATTATCTGGCCTATTTTATATGTCTGGCGGTATTAAAGAAAAATTTTAATCGGGACAACCCCTCGACCGAGAATTGATCCCGGACCCTTGGACAAAGGAGTGCTAAACGTTCAACCAATGTTCCGCCAAGATATTATTATTATTATTATTATTGAACATACATCAGGAATTTTTAATTTTCGATTAACATTAAGTTGCTTCTACTTCTGAATACGTCGTCCTTCGAGACCACATTCGACGCTAAGTAGATGTGTTTCTGAAATGTCGCATATAAATAACTCGCAACAGATTTCTGTTGATATGGTTGAAGCTCTTTCAATTGCCCTATTTGGATTTTGTGTTCATCTATTTTATGCCTTATTCTGTCTCCATGACAGCATCTGCCGATTTTGATATCGGCTAAGTCTGGTAGCAGGTTTTTATTTGTTACCCATTCATACAAAACACTGTGAAGGCTTGTAATATCTTATAATTGACCCTCTTGAGCAATGTCCCCCGTAAGAAAATTACAGTGACACAAATAGCTAAGATATTCCGAAGGTTAATTACCCCGTTCACAATAACCCGCTACTTGTAACTATCCTCTGCGAGATGAATCAAGTCTACAAAATCTTCGAGATCAGTTTTAATATTATACTTCCATCTGCTTCTAATTTTCACACTTCGTCCCTTGCCTTTAGGTTTCCAGACCAATATCTTGTAAACCGAAGTATTCTGATATTCCTCATTCTTGCTACAGACAATCACATCCTCCTTGACTTGATCACCTGGAGTAAAATTTTATTTGATTTAACTATGATTAAATCCGACTATTTGTTTTCTTTGTATCTAGAAGTTAATCTGGTTTGCATACAAAAAATTCTTGATACGAAATGAGATGTAAGTTGTGTTGTTAATCATTGGAGGCTGACGCTGTTAGTAGGTTAATCTTCTAGATTTTACGATTATTTATTTAATTTTTAACTTGATAATTCTTCCACTAAGAATGGCTGAAGAGCAGAGCAGTTAATGAAAATCTGATAGCGGGAAAATGTGCTTACGCTTATTTTTATAGAACTCAGAACTTCATTACAGTATTCATACGAGCGCGCCAGTTTACCTTATTCTCAGCCATTTGAATTTGGTCCATACTATCTCAGCCTGTTCTTTAAGATGCATTTCAATAGTGTTTTCCCGCCTACGTGTAGTCACCAAGTAGTCTCTTCCTATGTCGTTTTCCTCCTAAATTGTATTATTTCTCACTCCTACATGGCCGCTTATTTCATTATTCTTGAATTTATCACCGTAAGAAATAATGTATAGCACAATGTCATATTACTCAGTATCAAGATCGCCGATGTTCTACATAGACTGATAACTCGAAACTATGCTACGTTTGTAGATATTTATGCGGCTTTTGACGCTTTGAAGTAGTACTGATAATTTTAGGTACAACAGCTCATCATTAGTTCCTTCATGTTTCAGACTCATGGATGTGGAGTTTACCCTCAGATAACAATATCCGCTATATCAGTGTATGTGGTATATTTTGCAAGACTGATGATCTGTTGTGCCCTTCCAATCATAATTCAGTGTGGTTATAAAAAAACATGCAATTTAATGCAAAAAAGCTATTACACAAGCTGTGTGATTCTGATGGGTGTGAAGCCAAGCCTCTTGCTGAAATATGAAAAGGCTTTCTCCAACAGCTGTCTAGCTGCATATTGGACTCTAACAATAGGACACAAAACGGATGGTGCAGTCCGAAATGACACAAGAAGTGTGTCTGACTCAAGTGATAAAACCTCTAGTGCTGCTTCTCTTTTTCTCTTCTTCCTGAACTCTCACGAATGCATTTTGTTTCAGAAAGGCTAGATTTCTCCCCTCCTTTCACTGAATTTTTGCTTTTAACTGGCGAGTTTTGGCCTTGGAAATTCCACAAATCAATGCTTGCCCCTTTCGGTTTTCTTGCTGCTTTACACAACCGCTTGCTCTCTTGCCACCCTGGCGACCGTTTTCCCTTCCTCTCCACCTCACATCACTCTCTTCATATTTCCTTCCCTGAGTCAAATCACCAGCTAGCCTGCCAGACACTGGCAAACTGAGACACAGGCGTGGCTACATTCTGGCAAACTTTCAAAGGATTTTTTGCCATTCTTCACCTTTTCTTTCGACTGTATATCTACTTGTGTTACAGTCAGAATTTCTTCTTTCAATTTGGCACCGGAATATACCTCTGTACAGTTACAGTCCGACATATAAACATCTTCTTCCTGCTTTCTATGGAACCCGAAAGTTCATTACAGTGTTCACAAAAGCTCACCTTGTCTTGAACCGTATGAATCCAGTTTACACAATCCCACGCATTGCAAACATATTGCACACATGTGCCTCTAAGACTTATAATGTCAGCACCTGCCTTCTGGGTTTCTTAGAAAAATTGTGTATGTATTTCTAATCTCTTCAAAGCGTGTTACGTCCTCTTCCATCACATCTGCTTAATTATGTCAACATAATGTTTCATGTGGAGTACAAGTTTCTTCCCTTTTAGGTCCTAAAGTTGTTCTCAATAACCTCTTTTCATCTGCCTTCTGTGTTTTTACTACTCAAATTATCTGTATAAATTAATTTCAGAGATTTAAAAATAAACTTTCAGAATTACCATATAACGTCTGTACAAATCCGCTTTACAATAAGAAAAATGTTTCGAGTTTCATCCGGACACGATTCACAACCGGAAGTGAAGCTAACGTAAACCGAAAGGGCGGACCACCTACACCCATTCCAATAAGTTAGTGAATTAGAATGGCGAAGTGTTCCTTAAAACACGTTATTTTAGTTGCAATGTAATTAATTCGTCGTTCTGACCGCTTCTGCAACATGACTGTGCAACGTTCTCTACCATGAGGCCAAATATGGCTATTTCGAATGGACTACAATCTAACGGGCTGCTCTAAAATAATTCCGTGGTTAATACAAAAGACGTTGCAAAGCTGTAAATGTTTAGGTAGGTACCTGATTCCGGCTACACATTGACTGTCGCAGGCGATGTCTTTCGCTGTTACTCAATCCTTCAAG